GTGCCTGAGAGTACCTAAGAGAACCTGATAGTACCTGAGAATTCAGGAGAGTACTAAAGAGTACACAGGAGTTCCTAAGGGTACATAAGAATACCCATGAGTACAAGAAGGTACCCAAGAGTACATGGGAGGACATGAGTACCTAAGTGTACAAGAGAGTACATGAGAATACATGAGAGGGCACTAGAGTACATGAGAATACTGTACATGTGAGAAGTGAGATAGCAGAGTACTTGGGAGTCCAATACAGAGACTATCTGCTGAGAAGGACTATCTACTGCCTGGACTCAGAACTATCGTGTATCATCTAGGTGATAGATAGATAGATAGATAGATAGATAGAGAGAGAGAGAGAGAGAGAGAGAGAGGAGAGAGAGAGAGAGAGAGAGAGAGATAGAGAGAGAGAGAGAGAGAGAGAGAGAGAGTTATTTTTTATTAAAGATTGACGGGTATTCTCCCGGCCCGGGCCTTTTCCAAGTGGTGGCCCGGCCTTGGCTCCCTGTCTTGGGAGTGTCTGAGACCTAAGTCTCCCATGGGAGGAGGCACAAGTACCTCCTCATCTTTGGGACCAACTGTCCCCAGGCCTAGCCACAAGCTAGGCCTCTCTGGTCTGCCATCCCCGCCCCAAGGGGGCTAATGGGAATGACAGTGTTGTGAGCTGCAAGCTCCGGCTCAGGCACCTTCCCTACCCTAGAAGAGCTAAGCATGGTGTCGATGTTCAGAGAGAAACTATAACCAAAACTTATATATTGAAGTGTTGGGGATGCCATATATACCATCACTATAACTTTCTACCACCATTCACTACCACCACCACTAACCATTACCACCCTACCACTCTTACCACTACCACTAATCAACACCACCACTCTTGCTATTAGTACCCCTAACAGCCACCATCACTACTACCACTAGCCATTACACTACCACCACTAACCACCACCACTATTACCACTGACAACCATCACCACTACCACTAACCACCTCCTCTACTACCACTAACAACCACCATCACTACTACCACTAACACTCACCACTACTAGCACTAACAACAACCACCACTACCACTAACAGTCACCACCACTACCACTAACAACCACCACTACTACCACTAACAACCACTACCATTAACCACCACTACTACCAGTAACAACTACCACTACTACCAATAATAACCACTACCACTAACAACCATCACTACTACCACTAACAACCACCATTACTACCACTAACAACCACCACCACTACTACCACTAACAACCACCACCACTACTACCACTAACAACCACCACCACTACCACTAACAACAACAACCCCTCCCCCCCCTCAGGTGACACGAAGACAGAACAGCACTGTACAGAGACTGTCCACCGAGATTCTGGAGCATGTGATGCAACAGGTGGAACAGCAGGTGGATCAGCAGGTGGAACAGCTGGTGGAACGGCAGGTGGAACAGCTGGTGGAACAGCGGGTGGAACAGCTGGTGGAACAGCAGGTGGAACAGCTGGTGGAACGGCAGGTGGAACAGCTGGTGGAACAGCTGGTGGATTCTAAAGTGGCACCCGTCACAACCTCCCTGACACAGCTGGCTCAAGCCTCGGATACCTTCAAGGTCGACCTTGAGAAGGTAAATTTTATTATTATTGTTATATTCATTGGGGAAGAGGTAAACCCATAAGGGTCAAACAGAGCCGGGGCACTGGAAGACAACGAAATTCGATCCAAGGAAGGAGAGGGCAGCTCTAACTCCATGGATCAAAAGCCCTCCCGTCCAATCGTAACTCTTGTTAAGGGAAGAGAAGGCAGAAGAAAGGTTAAATATATATATATATTATCTTATTTTGTGCCCTTTCTCCCTTTCTTCCTATTCTCAATACCTTAATTCCCTTTTATTCTTTCGTTTCTCATCCTGCCCTTATCTCTCTCTCTCTCTCTCTCTCTCTCTCTCTCTCTCTCTCTCTCTCTCTCTCTCTCTCCCCTCTCTCTTCCTCTGTCTTTCTCTGTCTCTGTCTGTCTGTCTCTGTCTCTGTCTCTGTCTGTCTGTCTGTCTGTCTGTCTCTCTCTCTCTCTTCTCTCTCTCTCTCTCTCTCTCTCTCTTCCCTCTGTCTTTCTCTGTCTCTGTCTCTCTGTCTCTGTCTCTGTCTCTGTCTGTCTGTCTGTCTGTCTGTCTCTCTCTCTCTCTCTCTCTCTCTCTCTCCTCTCTCTTTCTCCTCTGTCTTTCTCTGTCTCTGTCTTTCTCTCTCTCTGTCTCTGTCTCTGTCTCTCTCTTCTCCTCTCTCTCTCCTCTCTCTTTTCTCTCCTCTCTCCTCTCTCTCTCTCTCTCTCCCCTCTCTCTCTCTCTCTCTCTCTCTTTTCTCTCTCGCTCCCCCTCCTTTTTTCTCCGTTTTCCTTGTATCTTCTACCTTTCCATTATGTATCGTCCGGTTGATGTTTCCATTTTTTTTTATTCCGTAATTATTTTCTTTATTCCATTATTTGTGTCATCTGGTTCGTTCTTGATTATTTTTCGGAATTTAAATGTTGTGTTTAGTGAATGTTGGTAAGAATGGCAGATATTTTGTTGATGTTTCGACCTCCAGGGATTTTGTCGTGAAGACGTTTCGTCCACCAGGGACGAATCTTCACAGGGGCGAATCGTTCTTCACAGGGGCCAAACGTTCTTCACAGGGGCCAAACGTTCTTCACAGGGGTCAAACGTTCTTCACAGGGGCCAAACGTTCTTCACAGGAGGCGAAACGTTCTTCACAGGGGCGAAATGTTTTTCCACAGTAAAAATGCCATAACCCTCATTGTGTCTTATTTTCATACTACTGGTAAACTTTGTCGTTGTATCACCATCTTTCACACAGGTGGTTCACACAGGTGTTACAGGTGTTTCACAGAGGTGCTTCATATAGGTAGTTCACACAGGTGCTACAGGTGTTTCATACAGGTGGTTCATACAGGTCGTTCATACATTCCCTCATCTTCATATTTTTTTTTTTTGGGGGGGGGGGGTGAAAACTTGGTATATAGTAATTATTTCTCTTGGGCCTTTAACCACAATCTTAATTTTGTTTTGTCAGAGAAGTCTTCCAATTTTTTTATACGTGGTTTTTAGATAGTGAATTATGAGGTGAGGGAGTCGAGATGGTTTATCCTAGGTTCTCTACACATATGCTGCTATGTATGATAATTCTATGTAACTGTGTTTGTGTATACCTGAATAAACTTACTTATGTGTCAGTGTTGCTTCGTAAGTTAGGTACGGGAGGAGCCGTCCATGCTGGCTGCCCATCCATGGGTACCTTCTCTTCTCTCATACACACACAGGCATACTTACCTGAGGAGCATACACAATCTGCACATAGGAGACTGAAATCTATGACGACGTTTCGGTCTGATTTGAACCATTAGTTACTCATCACACTAATTGATGGTACAAATCAGACCAAAACGTCGTCATAAGCTTCTCTCTTCTACGTGCGGATTATTTGTGTATTGTTTCAGTCACGGTATTGTGAATTTGTTCTTTATGTGAAGAGCCACACATGCTGCCTGCCCATCCTTAAGTACTTTCCCTTCATTCATACACACAGTGGATAAATGAGGTGTTAAGGTTAGTGTGTTAGGGATCTGTGTGCTTTGAGGCGTGGAGGTTGTCCGAGGCTGACCACGTCTTACAAACTTTCCACACGAGGATAAAAATGTAAAGCTTATCTTTAAAAAGGTTAAACTCCTTATAATTACTATTGATATTGCTTGGGAGAGCCATTAATTCCGATTCATATAGCACTTGGTAATGGGAGGTAATCAGGTTTGATTCGAGGAAGGGAAGGGATACATTTTCTTCCTTACATAAAGAGTCCTTCACCGGTATCAAGGGACCTATCTCTCTTGAAGGAAGACTGTATATTAAGTAAGCAAATCAATGCCTCGTTTATATCCCCGCTTAACCAGACGAGGCTGGAGATGGTGGTAATGCAGGAGAGCATCTTCGAGGAGGAGGAAAACTTGAAGATTCTCACCAGGATAATGGAGGAAAACCTCCTGAAGAAGGTGGAGGAAATGAAAAACCTGAGCAAGAAGATGGACGAAGGATTCCTCAGCGTAGGAGATAACATCAACCTGTTGGCAAGCAGCCTGATCTTCCCTATGGAGGATCGGATCTACCAGCTTAACAGTACTCTCGTGGATGCTGGAGAGGAGTTCGACAAGGTCGGGCTGTGTATGTTGCTCTGTACATCTATGTGGTGTTCAGCTTTTGATTGTCCTGTGTCTGTTAATGGCTTTTAGATTTGGCGAGATTGATGACTGTCTTCTAATGTATGTTGTGTTGGAAGCTTCTTGCAGCGTCAACACGCCTGTTTCTCAACTCATCCATTTGTCAGCTTGACTGTCTGTCAGCCCGTCCATCTGTCAGCTCGTCCATGTGTCAACCCGTCCATCTGTCAGCTCGTCTGTCTGCCAGCCCGTGTGTCTGCCCATCCATCTGTCAGCCAGTCTGTCAGCTTCATTCTCTGTTAGTTGACCACTATGTGTCAACACATTGTGGTATTTTGTCCACTAACAAGTTACAGTAAATTTTTGTGTAAATACGAGTATAATGTTAAAGGTTATTGACACGGGCCAGTGTTGACATTTTGTTAAGCCAGAATGTTGTGGCCTCTGATCTGCTACAATATATTTTGTTTACTATGTATTATCCTTCTTAAAAAAAGTAATGTAGTAAATACACTAGCATGCCCTGTGCAGTCTACGATGATTACATGCATATACATTCCGTACGTATATAACTACTATATCTCAAAACATACATATATGTAAACACCACACACACACACACACACACACACACACACACACACACACACACACACAACACACACACACACACACACACACACACACACACACCACACACACACACACACACACACACACACACACACACACACACACAACACACACACACACACACACACCACCACGGTGTTGGTAGAGTTAGGATCCATATATAGGTATAAGAAGAGGTACGATAAGGCTCTCGGAGCCAGGAGTGAACCTAGCAGCTACCCGCTAAGAGGGGAAGCCAGGAGCTGAGACTCGACCCTTGTAACCACATTTAGGTGATTAAATCTAGATGAGCATACACAAATACACACACACACATACCACACACCACACACACACACACACACACACACACACACACACACACACACACACACACACACACCACACACACCTCACACACACACACACACACACACACACACACACACACACCACACACACACCACACATACACACACACACACACACACACACACACACAGACACACAGACACACGCACACACACACACACACACACACACACACTCCGAGGTGTCACTGTTTGCAGATGACGTGAAGTTGATGAGAAGAGTTCATTCGATCGAAGACCAGGCAGAAATACAAAGGGATCTGGACAGGCTGCAGACCTGGTCCAGCAACTGGCTCCTGGAGTTCAATCCCACCAAGTGCAAAGTCATGAGGATTGGGGAAGGGCAAAGAAGACCGCAGATGGAGTACAGTCTAGGGTGTCAGAGACTACAAACATCACTCAAGGAAAAAGATCTTGGGGTGAGTATAACACCAGGCACATCTCCTGAAGCGCACATCGATCAAATAACTGCTGCAGCATATGGGCGCCTGGCAAACCTCAGAACAGCATTCCGACATCTTAATAAGGAATCGTTCAGGACCCTATACACCGTGTACGTTAGGCCCATATTGGAGTATGCGGCACCAGTTTGGAACCCACACCTAGCCAAGCATGTAAAGAAACTAGAGAAAGTGCAAAGGTTTGCAACAAGACTAGTCCCAGAGCTAAGAGGTATGTCCTATGAGGAGAGGTTAAGGGAAATCAACCTGACGACACTGGAGGACAGGAGAGATAGGGGGGACATGATAACGACTTACAAAATACTGAGAGGAATTGACAAGGTGGACAAAGACAGGATGTTCCAGAGACTGGACACAGTAACAAGGGGACAAAGTTGGAAGTTGAAGACACAGATGAATCAAAGGGATGTTAGGAAGTATTTCTTCAGCCACAGAGTAGTCAGGAAGTGGAATAGTTTTAGAAGCGATGTAGTGGAGTCAGGATCCATACATAGCTTTAAGCAGAGGTACGATAAAGCTCATGGTTCAGGGAGAGTGACCTAGTAGCGACCAGTGAAGAGGCGGGGCCAGGAGCTTGGACTCGACCCCTGCAACCTCAACTAGGTGAGTACAACTAGGTGAGTACACACACACACACACATGCACACATACAAGCACGCATATACAACAAGCCTAGTGTCTAATCGACATGTGCCTAGGACAAAATGGTAACTAACAGAACACACCACACACACACACACACACACACACACACACCACACACACACACACCACACATACACACCACACACACACACACACACACACACACACACACACACACACACACACACACACACACACACCACACACACACAACACACACACCACACACACCACACAACACACACCACACAACACACCACACACACACACACACACACACACACACACAACACACACACACACACACACACACACACACCACACACACACACACAACACACACACACACAACACACACACACACACACACACACACACACACACACACACACCACACACACACACCACACACACACACACACACACACACCACACACACACACACACACACACACCACACACACACACACACACACCACACACACACACACACACACACACACACACCACACACACACACACACACACACACACACACACACACACACACACACCACACAACACACAACACACACACACACACACCACACACACACACACACACACACACACACACACACACACACACACACACACACACACACACACACACACACCACACACCACACACACCACACATACACAACACACACACACACACACACACAACACACACACACACACAACACACACAACACACACACACACACACACACACACACACACACACACACACACACAACCACACACACACACCACACACACACACACACCCACACACCACACACACACACACACACATAACACACACACCAACACACACACACACATCCCACACCACCACACCAACAGACACTCACACCCACCACCACACACACACACCCACAACACCACCACACAACACACACACCACATCACATACACGAAACACACAACACCACACAACACCAGGTGAGTCTGTTTCGTCTCTCATAAAATAAAGTTATAAATGTAAAAAAAAAAAGTTAAAGTTAATAATTCCTCTGATGGTTTCGAAGGATTTCTTCCCTGCACCCACCTTGTCAGGAGGCAGGTGTGGGGGTCTCACGACCCTCACCCACCTTGTCAGGAGGCAGGTGTGGGGGTCTCACGACCCTCACCCACCTTGTCAGGAGGCAGGTGTGGGGGTCTCACGACCCTCACCCACCTTGTCAGGAGGCAGGTGTGGGGGTCTCACGACCCTCACCCACCTTGTCAGGAGGCAGGTGTGGGGGTCTCACGACCCCTCACCCACCTTGTCAGGTGGCAGGTGTGGGGGTCTCACGACCCTCACCCACCTTGTCAGGAGGCAGGTGTGGGGGTCTCACGACCCCTCACCCACCTTGTCAGGAGGCAGGTGTGGGGGTCTCACGACCTCTCACCCACCTTGTCAGGAGGCAGGTGTGGGGGTCTCACGACCCTCACCACCTTGTCAGGAGGCAGGTGTGGGGGTCTCACGACCCTCACCCACCTTGTCAGGAGGCAGGTGTGGGGGTCTCACGACCCTCACCCACCTTGTCAGGAGGCAGGTGTGGGGGTCTCACGACCCCTCACCCACCTTGTCAGGAGGCAGGTGTGGGGGTCTCACGACCTCTCACCCACCTTGTCAGGAGGCAGGTGTGGGGGTCTCACGACCCTCACCCACCTTGTCAGGAGGCAGGTGTGGGGGTCTCACGACCCTCACCCACCTTGTCAGGAGGCAGGTGTGGGGGTCTCACGACCCTCACCCACCTTGTCAGGAGGCAGGTGTGGGGGTCTCACGACCCTCACCCACCTTGTCAGGAGGCAGGTGTGGGGGTCTCACGACCTCTCACCCACCTTGTCAGGAGGCAGGTGTGGGGGTCTCGCGACCCCTCACCCACCTTGTCAGGAGGCAGGTGTGGGGGTCTCACGACCTCTCACCCACCTTGTCAGGAGGCAGGTGTGGGGGTCTCACGACCTCTCACCCACCTTGTCAGGAGGCAGGTGTGGGGGTCTCACGACCCCTCACCCACCTTGTCAGGAGGCAGGTGTGGGGGTCTCACGACCTCTCACCCACCTTGTCAGGAGGCAGGTGTGGGGGTCTCACGACCCCTCACCCACCTTGTCAGGAGGCAGGTGTGGGGGTCTCACACTACATTACCAACAAATAATATAATGCAACTAAAAAAATGGCCCCAATGGGTCGCCCACAAAATAAAAAATTTTGAAATTATTTTCGGAAATCGATATAAAATGTACAACTCTACACAATGCAGTGTGTTGTATGACCCCTGCGGGTTTAATGCTTCTCCCTGAGTTACGTAATATTTATATAGTCATGTAGAAGCGCCAAACCCTTAGGGGGTCATACAGTGCCTGGGGAAACGAGAGACAATCAGGTTTGATCTGAAGAGGGGACGTGTCTCCGGTTCTTTGGATCAAGAGTTCTATACCGGCGCCAAGCCCCTTCCCCCCACTTTAAAGTGGTGTAAACACACTTATAGAAGAACAATCTGTAAATACATCTGTAAATTAGTTTAAAGAACTCTTTCTTGAAGAACCTGACACTTGTTTACTGTCTTCCTTGCAGAGAGTGGATAACCTCGAGACTCAGGTTCGGGCTATCAAGATCCAGGGATCCAGCCCTAAGACCAGCCAACTCAGTAAGTTCTTATATTCTGTTTTGACCTCCTGCTTATGCAGTTCTTAGACTGCATTATGTAGTTCTCAGGTCTTGTTCTGGTGGTCTTCAGATTCTGCTCCTGAAGTCCTCAGGTCCTACTGTGGTAGTTTTCTAATCCTGCCCTCATGGTCGTCAGATAGTACTCTAAGGTCCTTACAATATGCTTGTATTTACTTCCAACATTCATTACCGTCCCCACACTTCCCTGTTCAAATTCACCTCTGTTTCTCTTCTCGTTAGAGAAGACGATTTAAAGATACACTCATCCATGAAGACAAACCACTTACGATAAGATTTGTTTATAGGTGTTCTCTTAATGTGTGTGTGTTTGTGGCGCTGATGAGCTCTGTTTATACCACAGGTGAGCAGTTCCACAGGCAGGTGACAGCTCTCCAGACCCAAATTGGCAGGATTGAAGGAACCATCAGCAACTTAGACGGACGGATGTCTGGCTTGGACAGTCGTCTGGTCTCCTTGGACGAGCTGGCTGGACGGACGTCAACCCTGGAGACATCACTGACAGGTCTCCAAACTACAAACACGAACCTGAACAGACAGTCTCAGAACTTATACAACAGGATTGGTACCCTTGAGAGTAATTCTGGAAGCATCAATCTGGAACTCAAGACTCTGAAAGAGACGTCTCAGATGAACCTTACCAACGTCGTTCGTAGGGTCGAGCACCTGGAGGAGAAGATGAAACAGAGAGAGGTAGCAAGGGTCCAGGGAGACGCCATCTTAGGCAGGTAAGGTAACAAGTATAGGAAAGGACAAACATTATTATATTCATGGGTAAGCTAGTAGAGTTGATAAACTAGAGGTAAAGAGGTTTGATCAAGATTTCTTCCCCGGCACCAAGGAACCTTCTTTGAGGAGACTATTCTGGAATATCTTGTATGTAATAGTTGATCCTCCTATTGATATTCTTTCTTCCAGTATTGTGAGAGCAAGTTCGTATAGTCTTACCCTCATCAAGTTGTTGGTGTATTCACGAGGAAGCGCTACTCCTGAAAGGGTCGTACAGCAGCTGCGAAATGATGAAAATTATGTATGATCAGAGGACAGACCAAGATATCCTCTTATGCCTCATATTTGTGGCCCTAATTCTTTCAATATTCCTATTACTTCCATATTTATTGTTTGTGAAGTTTATTTTCCCTGGTTAGGTGGAAAAAGGTCTAGGAAAAGGTACAGAAAAAAATTAATTCAGATTATTAACCCAGGAAAGCTACTGTGTTTGGCTTATATCCACTGGGACCCTTCGACCCTCTTTTCCAGGATGACACCCACAACAGTCGACTAACACTTAGATACCTACTTACTGCTAGGTGAACAGGAACAACGGGTGTAAGGAAACATACCGTTCTTCAAATGCCAGACAAAGGCGCTACCACTTGAACCACGACCTACCTGACTTGAACCACGACCTACCTGACTTAAACCTTATTATTTGCCAAGATATGTCCTTCTACCTTCAGACTTTTGTTCTGGTGTTTGATTATCATATTTCTGACATATAAGGCGCACGATCATGCAAGACATGCAAGACTATGTTTCCAAAAAAACGCAACATAACGTTAGTAAACAACTGCTAAAGCCTAACACAAAGCCTACCCTTGACCGTGACCTTGAGCATATAAGGCGCAGGCTGATTTTCAGACTTTATGTGCGAAAAAAGGCGCGCCTTATATGCCGGAAAATAGGTATCTTCCTTAGTATGCGGCAGTGGAGTAGCTTCCCTCTTAATCATAACTTATTTGTTTGTTGACAATTCTAGAGGTCTTCGCCCCTGCGACCCGTCTCAATCTTTGTTTTTTCTTATTCTAGGCCTCCTGCCCTTCTAGGGAAGAGCGCCTTGAGGCTCGTAAAAGGATCTTGATCAAGACTTACCTACCTCACTTAGTGTGTGTGTGTGTGTGTATGTGTACTCATCTAATTGTACTCACCTAATTGTGGTTGCAGGGGTCGAGACTCAGCTCCTGGCCCCGCCTCTTCACCGACCGCTACTAGGTCCTCTCTCCCCCTGCTCCATGAGCTTCATCATACCTCGTTTTAAAACTGTGTATAGTTCCTGCCTCCACTACATCGCTTGCCAGACTATTCCACTTCCTAACTACTCTATGACTGAAGAAATACTTCCTAACATCCCTATGACTCATCTGAGTCTTCAGCTTCCAATTGTGACCCCTTATTTATGTGTCCCATCTCTGGAACATCCTGTCTCTGTCCACTTTGTCTATTCCACGCAGCATTTTATATGTCGTTATCATGTCTCCCCTGACCCTTGGCTCTGAAACTAACCTTGTTGCAAACCTTTGCACTTTCTCTAATTTCTTGACGTGGTGTGTGTGTGTACTCACCTATATGTACTATCCTATATGTGGTTGCAGGGGTCGATTCACAGCTCCTGGTCCCAAGTGTGTGTGTGATCATTTATTCTCTGACTTACCATTACAGAGTCACAGGTGAAGGTAGGAACATAGTATCATCTACATCCGATTACTGGAAAGCCTACTCTGGAGTTCCTGGAAGTCCCCATATTCCAGGGCTAATGGGACCACCAGGAGATCACGGTGCCCCAGGAGGTCAAGGAAGTCAAGGAGCACCTGGAGGTCAAGGAGTACCAGGGGCACTAGGAGATCGAGGAAGTGGAGGAGCACCAGGAAGCCGAGGACCACCTGGAGGTGCTGGAGCACCAGGAGATGCTGGAGCCCCAGGGGCACCAGGAGGCCGAGGGGCACCAGGAGGTGCTGGAGCTCCTGGGGCACCAGGAGGCCGAGGAGCGCCAGGAGGTGCTGGAGCCCCAGGGGCACCAGGAGGCCGAGGGGCACCAGGAGGTGCTGGAGCCCCAGGGGCACCAGGAGGCCGAGGGGCACCAGGAGGCCGAGGGGCACCAGGAGGCCGAGGGGCACCAGGAGGTGCTGGAGCCCCTGGAGGCCACGGGGCACCAGGAAGTCCTGGAGGCCGAGGAGCCCCTGGAGGCCGAGGAGTAGCAGGAGACTTCGGAGCACCAGGATACCCTGGATCTCCTGGTCTTCCCGGTACACCTGGAAACCGGGGCTCTCCAGGACTTCCAGGACTTCCAGGACCTGCAGGTTAATAGAGGAAGCGAGTGACAAGTATCTGCAACCTATGTCGACTGATCTTCACCTCACCTTGCAGAACATCCACCCGTTGACAGCCTACTCTTCCTTCTGATGTTTACCTCACCCACCTGTCAGCTTAGCGCTGACAGCTTTATCAGTCACCTACTCAACAGCACCTGATAACAGCTGCCTCGGTCTCCTGACTTCTGCATCACCTGTCTCTTACTGCCCCTACCAGCTATTTAGGCAGCCTAGCTCATGAAAGTTCAGCCGTCCTATGAGATGTCAGCCATATTCAACCACTCACAAAAAATAAGATTTCACATAGCGTAGCTATACAAAGGATGCCTATTAATTAAATAAAAATCAACTATTTATATACATACAGATATCGTCTATAAAAATGCACACCAGAAAAGTACACTGTTGTTTCCTTGTTCCTTGCGAAGATATCAGACCCAAGATCGCAGCTGATACTATCGAATCACAGGTGATCTTACCTCGGCTCATTTCAAAACCCAGCTCTGTCTAAGGTACACTACCAGCCTCCCCAAGATGCCACCCACAGCAGTGTTAATAAGCTGGATGCGTTTATTATGCAGACCATACCAATCCTGTGGGCGGTAGTCGAGGGTTCACTAAGGCACATAAGGAGTCCAGGCTTAACATCTGTGTTTACTACACAAGTTACAGTGGTAATGAACAACTTTATTGAATTCAGATTAATGGTAAAGAATTTACAGTCATGAATAAAGTCAGAAAAAATACATTGTAGTTATATGTGGTTATAACGTCAGAACATTTTTCCACTGTGGATGAAATACTTGAACGTTTTAAGGTGAGTTGTCTCTGAATTCAGAATTTTTTGTTTTGTGACAATAGTTCATCTGGAAAAGTTTACACTTGGTTATTTCTACATCAACTTGTGGTACACCCTCCCAGAGGTACCTGTAGCCTAGCAGACGCTGATACACCCTCCCTGAGGAACCTGTAGCCTAGCAGACGCTGGTACACCCTCCCAGAGGTACCTGTAGCCTAGCAGACGCTGGTACACCCTCCCTGAGGTACCTGTAGCCTAGCAGACGCTGGTACACCCTCCCTGAGGTACCTGTAGCCTAGCAGACGCTGGTACACCCTCCCTGAGGTACCTGTAGCCTAGCAGACGCTGGTACACCCTCCCAGAGGTACCTGTAGCCTAGCAGACGCTGGTACACCCTCCCTGAGGTACCTGTAGCCTAGCAGACGCTGGTACACCCTCCCAGAGGTACCTGTAGCCTAGCAGACGCTGGGTAGTTGTAATATTCAAGGTTCTCTGACTTTTATTGACAGTGCCATAGACATGAGGCTCCTGCATGAGTAACCGGTGTCAATTAACTACTTACTAGTGCGGTGCAAGTTTATGACGTTCAGTTGCAGATAGTTTTGTCTTCTCAGATTACTAGCTGACAGCTAAAAGTTGTTATGTAGTCCCTCCTTGAAAACATATTATTGCCACTTCAGTCCTGTCTTGCACTTGATGGCCAGTGTTAGAGGGAATCTACAAAACGTGGACTCTGACTTCACTGTCTGCAATCCTACCACACCTGTGTCTGACTTCTGACACCAGCATGTCACAACTGACACTCGTGTATTTGAGAGTACTTACGGTTTATAGAGAATCACTTAAATTTAAGGCTTCAGTCTCAGATAACTCGATACACTGAGTGCAAAGAATATAGCAAACAGTTAGTTCATTTGGAGGGTGGAAGCCGAACTGATGCTCCAGTTTCTACAGCACTACCAGCAACACCAACCGGTTGGTGAACGGAGTCGTCAACACAGTTTTCTGAAGGGAGGAGCTTCAAGACGGAAGCTCTGGTTGTGATCTAATAAGGTTCTTTGGTGAAAAAAGTGAGTGATGTTGATTTGGAAAGAGATAATTTCTCGTGGTGTAGGGAAGTGTCATTGTTTGACTTATTTCGATCATGTAACTGATTAATTCAGTGTGGTGAGAGTCACGGTTCTCATTACTAAGATCCGGTGATCAAATCCTCGATCGTTAAAGACCAAATGTCATTTCCAGTTTTCATGCATCCTGGGAGGAACCCTTTCAACATTCTTCACCTATGGTCAAGAAATAAAATACGGAGTGTTTCTGTGTAAGAGTTTGGAATTGTAAACCCATTCGTAGGAATTTTTAATACGTTGCATCTTAACGAGAATTTGTATGACATTTGCAAGAGCATCTTTTAGAACCCTTGTATAATTTAATGGGCATTCGCAATGTAATTTTAACCACATACATATGGTATTTTTAGATATCTCTATGAAATGCATTTTGGTCCGTATTTTATGTGGACTGACATGACATTTTAGGGACAATACATGAGGAACTTCTGGAAGCATTTCTAAATAATATTTACTCCGTGACTGGAAATAATAATAAAAGAACATATTACATTAATAATATTGGAACTTTAGAAGAGATATTGAATCAAGTGAAGTGAGAGAGAGAGAGAGAGAGAGAGAGAGAGAGAGAGAGAGAGAGAGAGAGAGAGCGCGTCGGTACATGCTCTGCCAATGAAATGGTAACCTCCTAAATGCATTATCATATTACCGTTGATATGCCAGGTATATGTCGAAAGAAATTCGACCAGTCTTGCTCCTGCGCCTGTAATGTAAGAGTAACTGGCCTTTCGAACTGTGTCATCTGGTAGTTCGATCACTCATCTTTTTGGTCTGCCCTTGCAGGGTCACAAGCGAGAATAACAACACGACCCCAGCTGCCTCCGAATACTGGAGAATGTTTCCTGGAATTCCTGGAAGTATTCCAGGGCCAATGGGACCACCGGGAGACCTTGGCGTCCCAGGAGGTCAAGGAAGCCAAGGAATACCCAGAGGTCAAGGAGTGCCAGGACGTCAAGGAAGTGGAGGAGCATCAGGGAATCGAGGGTCACCAGGAAATTCTGGGTCCCCTGGAAGCCGAGGGGCACCAGGGAGTCGAGGGTTACCAGGAGATTCTGGGTCCCCTGGAAGCCGAGGGGCACCAGGGAGTCGAGGAGCCCCTGGAGATGCTGGGTCCCCTGGAAGTCGAGGAGCACCAGGGAGTCGAGGGTCACCAGGAGATTCTGGGTCCCCTGGAAGCCGAGGGGCACCAGGGAGTCGAGGGTCACCAGGAGATTCTGGGTCCCCTGGAAGCCGAGGGGCACCAGGGAGTCGAGGGGCCCCAGGAGATGCTGGGTCCCCTGGAAGTCGAGGAGCACCAGGGAATCGAGGGCCACCAGGAAGTCGAGGGTCACCAGGAGATCAAGGGCTCGCGGGCTCTCCAGGTCTTCCCGGGTTGCCAGGACGGCCGGGTGCACCGGGAAATAGGGGAGCTCCAGGTCTTCCTGGACTTCCAGGCCGTGCTGGGTAAGTGTAACGAGGTGAGAGCGACGAGCATATGGAAGCTACAGTTACTGGCATCTGGAAGCTACAGTCACTGACGTCTGGAATCTACAGTTACTGACATCTGAAAGCTACAGTTACTGAGCTACAGTTACTGACATCTGGAAGCTACAGTTACTGGCACTGGAAGCTACATTTACCGACATCTGGAAGCTGCAGTTACTGACATCTGGAAGGTATAGTTACTAACATCTGGAAGGTACAGTTACTGACAACTGATGTACACTCACGTCTCTCACTCTAAAGTCATTATCCACCGTCCTTCCTTTTCTGACGTCTCCAGCACCAAGTCTCGTCCTTTTCATAACTCCCCGTCTACAACTATCCACGAGATATATACAGTGAAAGGTGTATTTCTCTCAGCGTATATATATATATATATATATATATATATATATATATAATATATATTATATATATATTATATATATATATATATATATATATGTATATATATATATATATATATATATATAAATATATATATATATTTATATATAATATATATATATATATATATATATATATATGTATATATATATATATATATATATATATATATATATATATATATATATATGTATATATATATATATATATATATGTATATATATATATATATATATATATATATATATATATATATATATATATATATATATATATATATATATATTTATATATATATATATATATATATATACATGTTAAGAGATTACTTTAATAACTGTTCTAGGAATTGAAGTATTTTTGTTTGGTGGTGAACAGGTTTTATGCAGCCTTAATGACCCTAGGATAGTCGATAGACTTTCAACACCCATTAACTAATTAGCCAATCAGCCAAACAAATAATTGAGGTAGTTACCACCACCCAAACATGAACTAGCATAGTGGCACTTTTGGTAATTAGAAAAGTGTACACAGAGGTAGAATAATACATGTTATCATTCACGGTGAGCCATTCTGGCACGGAGACTGATACATAAGAACATAAGAAAGGAGGATCACTGCAGCAGGCCTGTTGGCCCATACTAGGCAGGTACTTTATAATTCATCCCACTAACAAAACATTTTCCCAACCCAATCCTCAGTGCTACCCAAGAAATAAGCCCTGATAACTCTATCCACTCATTTGCAAGTCCCACTCAAACCAATCCCTCTCACTCATATATTTATCCAACCTAAATTTGAAACTACCCAATGTCTTAGACTCAATAACCCAACTAGGTAGACTGTTCCACTCATCAACTACTCTATTTCCAAACCAATACTTTCCTATGTCCTTTCTAAATCTAAACTTATCAAATTTAAATCCATTACTGCGGGTTCTCTCTTGGAGAGATATCCTCAAGACCTTGTTAATATCCCCTTTATTAATACCTATCTTCCACTTATACACTTCGATCAGGTCTCCCCTCATTCTTCGTCTAACAAGTGAATGTAACTTAAGAGTCTTCAATCTTTCTTCATAAGGAAGATTTCTAATGCTATGTATTAATTTAGTCATCCTACGCTGAATGTTTTCTAACGAATTTATGTCCATTCTGTAATATGGAGACCAGAACTGAGCTGCATAATCTAGGTGAGGCCTTACTAATGATGTATAAAGCTGCAGTATGACCTCTGGACTTCTGTTGCTTACACTTCTTGATATAAATCCCAATAATCTATTTGCCTTATTACGTACGCTTAGGCATTGCTGTCTTGGTTTAAGGTTGCTGCTCACCATAACCCCCAAGTCCTTTTCGCATTCTATACTGCTAAGTTCAACATTATTAGGCTGGTAGGAGCTTTAGAACTTTACATTTATCTACATTGAACTGCATCTGCCACTTTTCTGACCACGAATTGAGTTTGTCTAAATCCTCCTGAAGTTGTGAGACATCATCGTCTGAATCGATTATCCTACCTATCTTCGTGTCATCAGCAAATTTGCATATGTCACTAGTAATTCCCTCGTCAAGGTCGTTTATACATATTATAAACAACAATGGG